CAGAATCTGTAAAATAAAAGTGGCAATAACAATGGCTGCTTTGGCCTACTTCACAGAACTGCGTGAAATGAAATGAGGTAGAGATAACATGCTATAATGCTATGCAAATGTAAATCGCTGCTATGCAAAATTAAGTTACTGTTATTCCCAGAACTCCCTTTAATCTATTCAAGAGAGAGAATATGGGTTATTTGTCCTATGTTCTCGGTGAATCTGTGTTTTAAACCTCAATTATCATGGTCTATGCTTCCACTAAAGGAATTTTGGGCAAAGCAGCAGAGTTCTTTGCAAGGAGAGAGGGAATATATTTGTCTTACCTTGACTGCTGAAGTAAATGGTAGCTGTTGGGTTAAATTAGTGTGGAAGCAGGAATAAAGGTCATCATCCCAAGAGCTGGAGGGGTTCTGCCTCTGCTTTAGTGACCCAGGAAGTGGTGGAAACAGTTGGTGATTATACAGAGCAACATCATGGAGTCAGTTTAAAGAAAAGCACAAGAAGTTTATTGAGGGATAGATAAGGTTTGGACCTTATCATTGTCACAGATTGAAAATGAAAGGCCACAAAAAGGGATACAATGTTATAAAGTTAGATCAAGAACTAAAAGTTACAAAATCCATAACTGGCTCAGAGAATATCAGGGGGAGACAAAGATAATTATCTAGAAATGAGAATTTGGCAGAAATAGGTCCATACACATAAGCAAGATTACATGATTACATGCTGTTCAGTGTATTCCAGGGTGGTCCCAGGAAAGTGAGACAAGACCAGTTTTTCTGTTAGCCTATTTTTCCTCAATTTTATGCCTGTGTTTCAAGGTCCATGTATGGATTTAGAAAAGTCTGCCACTCAAGACTCTACATCTCACATTTATTGTTGTTGTTAGGCACTCATGAGTCAAATCCTACTAATAGCAAGAAAAGAGCTGAACCTTTTCTTATCTTGTGCCATCCTCCTCATCTCTGATAAGTTGTTGTTAAGTGCCGTAGAGTCATTTGCAACTCACAACATACCCGATGTAGTAGAGCTCTGAACCCTGCTCCATCCTGTGCCAACCTCATCATCTCTGACACACCTACCCCCAACTACCCCAGTCACTGCATGAAATACAGGATCTTCCTCTCGTGCTCTGTCCCTCTACCTTCTCAAGCATGATGCCCCTCTCCAAGGACTGGTCCCTCCTTGTGACATGCCCAAAGTACATCAGATGGAGCTTCAGAATCCTTGCCTTCAAAGAGCAGCCTGGTTTCACCCTTGTCAACCCATTGCAGCAGTCACTGTATCACTTCATCTCATTGGGGATCTTTCTTTTTTCTGTTGACCCCTCCACATTTCCAAGCATGATATACCTTTCCAAGGTATATACCTCTCCTAGTAGCATGTCCAAATCATGAGAGATGATGCTTTATCATCTTTACCTCTAAGGAGCACTCTGGCTTCACTCTAAGACATAGCAGTTCATCTTTTTGGTAGCCTACTCTTCTCCAACACCACAGTTCAAAAGCATAGACAATCTCCTCCTCTGCTATTTACTGCCTCCATTGGAGGGTCTGCTATGAGTCAATTCCAACTCAGTGGTTCACAACAGCATGCGTCACCGGATTGCTGGTGGTGCAATGGCTAAACAGCTACTCATAGAGAGGTTAACAATTCCTTAAGAGAAAGCTGTGGCTGTCTGCCTAACAAGTTAGAGCCTTAGAAATTGAATTGAAAGGGTGCTTCCACTCTGTTCTGTTTTAAGGAGTCAAAACGAACTCCAAGTTGAGTTTTTGTGTTGTTGGTTTATATGTTTTGTTTTAATGCATCTACCATTAAATTATCATGCGTACTGATTCCATCATGACAGTAGACAGCATCAAGAGCAAGGCTTCCTCCTTCTCTTTACAGCACCTTTCCGGGCCGTGAAGCTATTTTAGAGGAGTAGAGGAAGGGGAGACTTGTTTACAACCCAGAGCCAGTTTTGAAACTGGAAGGAGCACCCACATGCATTGCACAATCTGGTCCCAGCCCCAGTCCTGGGTGATTTCGTGACTTTGTTGCCGTGATCCCGGCCTGCTCTCGTTGGGTTCCCAAGGAGGGTGTGGGGAAGTGAGCATTGCTGCAAGGTGTCTGTCCATTTCTTAGAAAAAGAGACCAAGGGCCAAAGAGGCAAGATGACCAGGGCACAAATCACATAGTAATTTGGCTGAGAGTCTCAGCTGATAGAGAACCCTGAAGTTCTGAGAGATATTTTTACAAGGTTCCCAGGATAGAAAGGAAAACTTCTTGGTTAAAAAGCAGGCTTCCCACCCCCCCCACCCCCCCACCCCCACTATGCTCTGTGGCTACCAGGTACACAAAAGCTTGGAGCTTGCTGATTATTGTTTGAAAATGACTTGACATGTAGATAGTGATTACAGAGGGGGGTTATCAAGGAGTCATTGAGATGAACCATACTTGACATCCTTGCCAGTTCTCCAAGTACACAAGTTATTAAGTAAAAAGAAATATCTGTAAGTATCTGACTCTGCTCAACTAATCCTTCCATGTACATTTTCATTCAAACCATTAATTTGTATAGGAAAAGTGCCTCCATATTTTTCAATCCTTGCTTAAGGGACATTCATCTCAGTTTTCTGTTGGGATTCTGACACTTGCCCTTAGAGATAAAGTTCTTCTATTTTTTTTTTTTAAAGATATTTTGAAAACAATTGGATCACCTGAGGATGTTCTAGAGGCAGAGTGGCTAAATACTTGGCTCTTAATTGAAAGCAGTTTGAATCCACCAGTCCCGGCTGCTCTGTGGAGGAAAGATGAGGCAGTTTGTGTCCATAAAGATTTACAGCCTTGGAAATCTAAAGATTTATTTATTTATTTATTTTTAATTTTTATCTTATTATTTTTGTGTGAGTGTACCGTCAAATCAGATCTGACTGATACAGGAGGAGATTGTCCCTCCTTCCCTGGCAGAGCATCTGGTGGATTCGAACCGTTCGCCTCTGGGATTGTAGTTGCAGCTCCTTGCCACTAGGCCACCAGAGCTCCCCAAGAAATCTAAAGATTTATTTAAAACTCCAAATAAAGAGTTACTATCCTATAAAGCAATTCCATTGTCCTATAGGGTTGCATAGGATAAGACAGGGTTTAGAGCTGTTGTTCATAGGATCACTATGAACCATACTGGAGGGTATCCAACAACAACAACAACAACAACAACAACAACAACAACAACAACGTGTTGCTAGGAGTTGGAATTGATTTTACGGGAATGAGTAAAGGGTGTTCTAACTCCAGCCATGCTACCTTCATTTCCCTTGGGAGTTGAAGAAGAGTGGAAATATCTTTACTGCAAATCCCCGGGCTTCACAGGATGGTTAACTCCCTGATACTGTTCCATTAGGGCTGGTCTAGATGAGAAATGGGTGGCTCTTTGGTTGGTGGGGAGAACCTGGTGGTTCGGTGGTTACAGACAGAAAGATGTGATCCAAACTGGGAGAGGAATGTAGGAAAGAGGGATCAGGAAGCACTTTGCAATACCTAAGGCAGAGGACCCCAACAAATCAGGTGCAGAAGCTGGTAGGGGAAATGTGTTTGCTCCCCCTTAGCCAAGTTGTCTGTGGTGCTGGGGAGAGAAAGGGGGCTCTGTTTACTGGAAAATGCTAGAATGAGCAGGAGTGGGAATCACCCTTTTGTGGTGTGTTGAAGGCTAAGGTACATTTCTTTTGGGAGGACCATACTGAGCCATTTCCCTCATCTAAACCATTTACAATCTATAGAAGGAGTCCCTCCTCAGCTCTCTTTCTGTTTTCAGCCTTATCAACAAGCAGGATCTGTGTACAGAGCACGGTAAGGGGAAACAAAAATGAAACAGGGAAGCCTGCAGAAGATAGGCCTTCGTGGCTTCCACAAACCGACAAAAATTATTACCCTTGGGTATGCTTCAGCAGTTCCAAGGGCAGAAGTTTTATCTCCTTGTGGTTCCAAGGCAGTCTGGCCCTTCAAGTTTAATTTAGGGTTAATTGAAACTGTACCCGCACCCCCCCCACCCCCGCTCCCCCTTTGAAGTGTGTGTGGGGGCCTCCTGCCATTCCCGTGGAGCAGATGATTTACAGCGAGGTTGCCTGCTCACTCAAGGGACCAATCCAAGTTCCCACTTTGCCTCTAAGATGCTGTGGCTTGGAGCTTGGCTCCTTTGGAAGGGACATGAATGCGGCATCCTCTGTGAGCCCGAAAGGTATTTATGCATTCAAGGACACATTGTAGAACTATATAATTGTCCAGGTGTGGCCAGGCCCTTCTTAGACATACCTGCCCTTATTTTACTGCCTCCATGCAGTGTCTATTTACTGTACCTGGGTGGGGACTGTCTGAGCTGGTCAAGGGTAGTTTAGCTGTGGCCACTTCAAATAAGTTTTGGTGCCCAGAGTAATTGAAACGACGTGCGTTTATACTACGGGGCGGATCTATTTAGATTCGTATTGTGTTCCCGGGGGTGGGGGTGGGGTGGGGGGTGAATTTTCTGCCCTTCTTTTGAGCTCTCCTTTAGGGGTGGACATAGGGCGGCAAGGCAGTGAAAGGTGAAGGGGTGGTGGGATAGGAGCAGTAGTTAGAAAGTGCGACTGCCCCAGTGCAAGACGACCTCGTCGCGACCCTGCCTGGGAGGCAACCAAGTGAAGGGAAAACGAGGGCGCCCTGAACGCCACTCCAGCGGAGGGGCCAGCTAGGCGTGCCGGGGAAGGGCGCGCACCTCGCTTGGTGCCCTCTGCCTTGACTTCCCCGTCCCCGATGGGGAGGAGCCTGAGCGCCGCCGAGGCCGCCGAGCGGAGAAAGTGCGCGGAGGAGGCGCGGCGGCGGCGAGCCTCACACGTGACGGCGGCGGCGGGCGCAGCGGGCGGCCCGGAGCGGCGCGGCGGCCTCGAGCCCCGGGAGCGGCGCGCGCGGCCGGGACCCAGCCCGCTCTGCCGGCCTCGCGCTGCACATTCTCTCCTGGCGGCGGCGCCACCTGCAGTAACGTTCGCCGGAACATGGCGACAGGGAGCAGCAGGAGGGAGTCGCGACTCCCCTTCCTATTCACCCTGGTGGCGCTGCTGCCGCCCGGGGCTCTGGGCGAAGTCTGGACGCAGAGATTGCACGGCAGCCGCGCGCCCCTGCCCCAGGACCGGGGCTTCCGCGTGGTGCAGGGCGACCCGCGCGAGCTGCGGCTGTGGGCGCGCGGGGATGCCAGGGGGACGGACCGGCCGGACCAGAAGCCGCTCCGGAGGAGACGGAGCGCTGACCTGCAGCCGGAGCCCATCAAGGTGTACGGACAGGTGAGTAGCTTTGCCACCCGTTTTCCTCCAGCTCTCTCCTCACCCGGCACTTCCTCTCCCCCGCATCCATCCTTTGCAGTCGCCTCCCAGGTGCAGGCACCGCTGGGCACTTCCCGGCTTGCATTTGCTCCCCCACCCCACCCCCAACCACATGAGTACAACCATCAACACCGAATTACATTGCTCTTGCCTTCTTCCTGTCGAACGTATTCCAGGTAACTCGAGGGGTGCGGTGCTTTTTCCCCCCAGGGTGTTTGCACATAGGTTTAGTTTTCGGCAGGTATGGAGTATAGGGGAGTGCCGCTTCATTTTACATCTGGATGGAAACAGCTTTCCTTAGTGTATATCATCAGTTGGCAGTGGCAGCAAGCATCCTGCAGTTGCGGTACACTTGCATAGAACAGGAGGAGGGGGATGCCACACTTACATTCCCGGCGACAGTAATGAGTATAATAAACCAAAAAGCATGTCGACTCTCCTGGTATATAGCAAAGGGAATATGTGTGTGTGTGTGTGTGTGTGTGTGTGTGTGTGTGTGTGTGTGTGTGTAAGGGCAAAATTTGTTTCTCTGGCAGCTGTAAGGTCCTATTCATCCCTCCTCTACCCCCTTTCAAGATAGGGACTTTATTTTGGGCAGAAACCATCCCCATGACAATTGGAGATGTGATTGAAGAGACTGCAAGTATTTGAGGGCCATAACTATTCAGCCAGAGATTTCTTTTCATCGAGACAATGAGTTTATTAGCTCATAAGTAACATGAATTTCACTTTTATGGCCAGACTTACTGCATACCGAGTTTAAGAGTGAGTATCAGCATTAGTGAAATTAATGTGGTCCTTTTATTGCCTCATGAGACTCCCAGCCCTGTGGGGGAGATTGACATCAACAAAACTGGAAGGTCGTTGTGGGAGGAAAAGAGGGAACCTGGGATGTGGTAAACACACTCATTTCCTAGTGTCAGATTGTTCCCCTTTAAAGTAGAAATTAAAGGTTGTGCTGAGTGCTGCTTCTCTTCTCCAGTTTCCCCTTAGCCATTTCTTCAGGCAATCTATAGAGTCAAATGTTAAGCCCTGGAGCCAAGAAGAACCTTCATTATCAGCCACCTGGTCCTATTGTGTCATTTTTCTGATGTAGAAACCTGATGTAGAGACTTAGGAAGGTGAAGGGACTGACTGGAGCCACTGCGGTGTCTGTGGCAGGGCTGCCTGCTTTTCTGTTCTCCTTTATGTTGTCTGATGCCTCAGTGACCTTTCTGGGTGATCACAGAGTCACCCTGGCTTTGTACAGTGTTTCTGAAGTCTTTTCCTTTGTAAAGTGGAGTGGCAGTCCTTAAGGAAGGGGGGTGGGGGTGGCGAGTATGGATGGGAGAATTTGCCCTTCTGCATCATCAGCTTTAGGGCATTGGAGGTACAGGTAGGTATGTCTCTTTTGGATCAGATCTTTGTTTTCTTCTTCCCAGTCCCCATTGTATCCCATCTGGAACTTCTTTCTTGTACTGATTTGGAGAAGTCCGAGACACCAGCTCATGGAGGCTGATGAGATAGGAAGAGATTGTCCTCTCCCAGTCTTCCTACTGGGGGCTTTGTTCAACTTTTTTGGGTCTAGGAATCTTGAGGGGTGGGAGACAATCTCACTCACCTATGTTTCAGAGTCACCAGCTCTGAAGGGAATAGCTTCCTGGTCTTGAAAGTGCACACAGGTGCCATCCCCTGCCCGCCCCCCCCCCCCCCCAATCTGGGAATTTGGGCAAGCTAGAGATGAACTCTGCTCTCCTTAGGAGTGACTCCAGAAACCTCAGCTTTTATGTTTCTGGGCCAGCCAGAGTAAGTTTGCTTTTGAGAGAGGAGAGCTAGCTAGCAGTGAAACTCTTAATGAGCAGTTCCTCCCCAAGGCTGTCTACTTAGGGCTGCCTTCCAGAGCCATTGTTCTCTGTGGCCCCACGACTAATTAAAAGTGGTATGGACTTGAATATCTAAGGGTCTGGTTAGAAAGAAAGAAGAACTTCCTGGTACTGTGCTTTCTCTTACAAGCTCTATCTGGTACAAATGCTTTAGATGGCAAATACAACAATGAGCTTTTAAGCACGGCTGAGATTGTGAGGCTGGCACAGGATCCTGCAGGGTTTTGTTCTGTGGCACAGGGGGTTGCTTATGAGTTGGAGCCCAGTTGACCTAAAAGCAACAAGAAGAATCTGTAACTGAGGGACTGTGGTCATCCCTGTTGGAGAACCCGTCTGACTCCCATCTATTTGGGATGACCTTTCTGGCAAGGGTGGCCATTTGCTTCTATTTTCCCTGCGGCAAGCCTAGTTTAAACTTTGTCTGCTGGTTATGAATTGCACCCCCTCTGCTCCCCAGAGAGTGAGAGTGTCAGGATGCAGACTATAAATCACAGGGTCATTGTGCTTCTAGCCCTAAGCTAAGCTCTACTATATAGCCCCTCTTTCCTTTTTAACTTCTAGACTTAAACATTTCACCTATACTTTGAGGAGACTTAGAATTTAAGGAAGAAACAAAATGGATATAAATACAGGCATGTATACTGGATAAGAACCAATAAAGCAGCTACAATTCTGTAGTAATTTATTAGAGTTGGGGTGGGCTATGGAGATAGCTTGATTACGGGTTGGGGTGGACTCTGAAAGAGGGCAACTTCTACCGTCTCACCTATTGAGGCGAAGGGGGAGGCCTCTTACTAGACCTGACAGAGATGTTATCTGATCAGAGAAGCCCTAGAAGTGACTTCCACCAGCTTCCAGGGAGAGGAGAAAGGAAGGTTTTGATCCCGAATCACTTACAGAGGAAAAGTAGAGGGCCAGTGCAAATGAGGAAGACTTCAGTGAGGTAAACAGAGTGAGCTCAGCAGAGACTGTGAGGCCAACCTCGACTGGTCAGGGGTCCTTCTGTTACTCCCAGGGTTGCTATGACTTGGAGCTTGTCCCATGGCACCGTAGCACCTAACAAAATTCACATCCTACAGCCTAGATAAGATGCTCTCTCCTTTTTCTTTTAATACCACTTTACTTATTTATGGAGTTAAAATGTAAAGTGCTATCCAGTTATCAGTATTCATTGTTCCATGTTATTAATATTCACAGTTGTGTTGCTCACCCAAAGGCTGCAAATCTCCAGTGTTTTGAATCTACTGGTGGCCCGTAGGGGTGGAGAGAAGAGGAGCTGTTTCCTCCTGTATGGTTTATAGCCTTGGAAACCCCATTGAGAGCTGCCTAAGAGCTAGAACTGACTCTGTACCAGTCTGAGGTTTGTGTTGCTTGTTTGTTTTCGACGGGAGATTACTAGGCCTTGCCTGCCAGTCTGTCTTAGTCTGGAAAGTCCTTTGAAATCTGTTTGGTATCATAGCAACACCCAAGCCTCCATTGACAGGTAGTGACTTCATGTGAAATGCACTGGCCAGGAACTGAACTTAGCTCTTCTGCAAAAAAGGTGGGAATTTGCACCACTGTGTTGCCAGTGTCCTCACGTAAGTGAACTCGCCTTAGTAATTTTTTTTTACTGCATTTGTCCTGTTCTTGTTGTTATGTGCTGTCAAGTTGGAATCAGCTCATAGCTGACTTGCCAGTAGGGTTTCAGAAGCTGTAAATAGCACGGGAAGGGATTGTCCATCTTTTTCCTGTGGAGCAGCTTGTGGATCCAAACTGCTTGTGTTTGGGTTGGCAGTGCAACAAGGCTGTCAGAACTCCACTGTGTCCTTGTGGTGGTGATGGTAGTGTGCTGTGGAGCTGGGATGGATTCATAGCTGACCTACCAGGAGGTTTCAGAGTGAGTAAATTGTATGAGAAGAGATTGTCCATCCTTCTCCTGCCGAGCAGCTGGTGGATTTGAAACACGTGCCTTTGGGATTGCAGCACAGTGTCTTACTTCTAGGCCACCAGAGCTCCCCATTTGTTCTTAACATTTAATGTGAGAGAGATGGATTTTTGCCATCATGATTGAATAATGTGTTTGTAATAGTTAAATACAGTAATGTTACTGTTGTTATGTACTGTCGAGTCGAAACCGACCCATAGCTGGTGCTCTGGCGGGTTTTCAGAGGCAGTAAATCGCGTGGTGAAGATTGTTCATCCTTCTCTGTGGAGCAGCTGGTGGATTTGGATCATGTGCCTTCAGGATTGTAGCGCATCTACTTACCGCTAGGTCACAAGAGCTAGTGGTGAAAAGAATAACTAGCTGATACTAGGACTTTTCAACCTCAGTGCAAAGTTTGGAAGTTGATTGTCTTCCAAAAAAGAAAAAAAACCAAAACCAAGTCAAACAACAATTTGCCAAACGGAATTCTTCCTGATTTCAATCAGGCTGGTTCCCTCTGTGCCATTACATTTGCTTTTTCTTACCCTAAAATAGTCTTCTCACACTCCAGCCTTTGGTGGAAAAATCTATTCCATTTTCAATGTCCAGTTCCAGGGTTACTTCCTCGTGTGCGCAGACTCAGTGGAGAATGTATCCTTTGAGCTGGGTTACAGTACTTACTGCCTTACGCTGTAATTACTTGTTCAACAGCCTAATCTTCCTATTTGCCCCTTGAGGGCACGGATCAAGCCTTTCTCTTCTGTGTTTCCCTGGCACAAGGTGGGCCCTTAATGAATATCTGTGGAACCACTGCACACCTGGAAGAAGAGAAGCCTGGAGGGTAGGAAGAACAGGAAAGTTAAAAGAAAGCTATTGATATGGAGGGAGGACCAAGGTGGGACCTACTCTTGGATGGTGAAAATTTGTTGGCCTTGAGGTGAAGGTGTAAAGCATATGTCTCTCAGGTGGGGTGGGAGGCCGACTTCCCTGTGTTCTAAAAGTTAAAGTGAATGAAGAATTGGGATCGTATTGCATACTATCTTCCCTTTTAGGACTATCAGACTTGACTTGTGCTATTGGCATTGTGTTGGGGGGGAAAATCCTTTGGAATGAAGCACAAAGCCTAACAGGATTTACAGGTTTATGCTTCTACCAATGAACTCTCTGTTCATAATTCCTGCATTTTAGAGGCC